TCCAACAATAATTGTAACTGACCTTGGATATTACTGAAGTAGCTACAAATAGATATAGGCTGATGGGGACACACAATATTGATTTAGCATAACATTTAATGTTTATTTCTTTATACTAGCTTGAAGAATAACCCATTTTAAGTAATAAGTCAATGTTCCTAAAATGTATGTATAAACTAGACATATTTATTTGAGGCATAGTTTTTCATTTAATTGCATTATTATTCAAAGGTGTTTCAGAGTCCTTTGAGACCAATATGTAGTGACTCCTAAAATTTTACCTTTACAGGATTCCATCTATCTCTGCATCCCTAGTTACTGAGTAGTTATTCTTCTATTAACAAGTGGTTAAGAATCTTAATTGTAGTGACTATTTAAAAGAACATTTTAGCTAATTCTTTGGTATCGGTTTCTAAAGCCAAACTTTTCCAACTTGTGGAATCTTGTCACAAGTATTAAATGCACATCAATAGATTTATATAGAATTAGCACGTTACTCCAGAAATTGATGGAGTGCTTTATTTTTTGGAATCCTCTAGAACGAGGGTCAGCAAACTTTTCTGTAAATGACTAAATTGTAAAAATTTTAGGCTTTGTGGGAACAGGCAAAGTTGAGGATATTATGTAGGTACTTGTATAACAAGAAAGAAAGCAAATATCCACAACTTTTTTGTAATAGAGATCTACGAATGAGCACAGTGGGATTTATTTATGGGCACTGAACTATGAATTTCATGGAATTTTCATGCATTATGAAATATTATTTATCTTTTACTTTTTTTCAACCATTTAAAAATGTATGAGCTATTCTCAACCATTCTGACCATACAAAAACAGGGCTGGCCGGATATGGCTGAGGAGCTGTTGTTCGCCAACCCTTATCCTAGAACACAAGCTCTTAAACTGTAAGTAGTCCATGAGCCTGCACCAGAGGTAAATTTCATTGAGGTCCTTAAACTTCCTGAGATCACATGCAGCATTTCGTACACACATGAACTTTTCTGTGGACGCATCCACAGCTTTGATCTGACTCTCAGATAAATCTGAGACTAAATCAGGACTAAAAAAGATTAGGGTCCATTGTGCTAGAGACAATTCACTGATTTTTAGGAGGCATTTCCTAAAACCCCTGATAGCTTCTAGGTACTGTGCAAGTCAATGGGAGCCCACAGGAATTCCTACCCTAGGAGCTGCTAATCCTGCTAGAGACGTTGAGGGTAAATAATTGTCTTGGTGATTTTTTATTCATAAAGTCGGTTGTCTCCACCATTCTTGTTGGTTTTATCAAAATCAGAGAAAGCTGAAAATCCACACCTCTAGTTCTAGGAGGAAAATTTTTCTCATATTTTCAAATATTTAGTAAATAAGTTAGGTTTCAGTGAATATGTGAAACATATTTAAGTGTCCAGACTGTTTCAGGCTATAAATAGAAATCAGATTCAATGTGTTCGGATCCTTCTTTAAAATGAAGATCACCCCATGGATTGGTTCATGTTAGCTCAACTGACATCTAGGGCTGCAATATAGGTGTAAATGGATTAAAGTTGCTTATTAAACTGGGGAATATAATCATTAATGTTGTAAATACTTTTCAGGGAGCCAGATGGACTCATGTCTTGTTAGGGAGACCACTTCATAGTCAGTGTAGAGGCCTGACCACCACACTGTATTTCTGAAGCTGACATTGAATAATAATGTATGTCAACTATAATTATATATATATATAGTCACGGGACATGGAGTAGAGTGTGGGAATGGAGTCAATGGAATTGTAATAGATAAGTATGATATCGGGGGTCGGAGGGCAGTAGATGGGGGAGGGAGGTTGTTTCCGTGTGAGGGGTGAAAAGGATAACTATTGCATTGTTCTGTACACCTGAAACTAACAGTAACAAATTTTTTTAAAAATCTACAACTACTGTATAAGATGCACCCAGTTTTTAGACCCTGTATTTTTCAAAAAGGGGTCTTATACATGAAGTTAAATCAATAGTATATATTGTCTTATACATGATGTTAAAACAGTAGTAGATTGAGGGGCGGTTATCACTTTGTGAGGGGTGTAAATGTCTAACTATTACATTGCTTTGTACATCTGAAACTAATAAAAAATAAATAAACTAGGGTCAAATCTGAAAAAAACAAACTGAATGTGTGTGCTGAGGTTGCAGGCAGTTGGACTTAACTGGTGGCTGTTAGCCAAACAAAGCTAAGCCCTTGAATGCTCAAATTCATGAAATGGAGTAGTTACCCTGGGGCAGAGGTGGTAGTGAGAAAACAGTTTGAAAACAAATAAGAAGCTCAGGAGTTCCTGCCTATGCCCTAGAGTTGAGAGTAAAAGAACTTGCTTCTTCTCAATAAGCAGTGTTGTATCAATAGAATGAAGTTTGTACTCAAGGAGGAAATGGTTATAAAAGTTATAATGCTTATTTTAAAACCTAAAGATGGCACAATGTAGTATGTGGTGAAACATTAAAAAAATCTAAACATTTTCAGCAAGCCCCTTGTACTTTTTATATAGACTTTTAATTAATTTACAGCTTTTTTTCATACACTTGGAGAATATACCAAATTTAAGAAGGCTAAAATATATTCCAAAGAAAGCAGAAGTTAACTAAGAAAATTTCCCCCCGAAAAAAAAGAGATGAAAAATTATGGAAGTTCAGAGCTACTATAAATAGGAAGCATTGCTTACATGTACATTAGACTTAACTATTATTAATTGATCAGTATTTATTAGTCATTGATGAAAATCCACTCACCTACATGTCTTTCTTTTAATTCAATAGTTTTTTTGTGTGTTTTTTTTAACTGAGCCATCCTGCCACCTGTTGGCAGCTCAGAGGCTGCTCAGCACGGGCCGGGACTCGAACCACTGTTGCTCAGAGCTCAAACCCTTGAGCAAGCTGTTAACCAACTGAGCCACTTGGCGGCCCTCCTCAATAGTTTTTTTAAGTTTAATAATGGTCCTTCCCAGTTCTGTAAAAGGTACAAGCAAAAAGTATCCAAGAGAATAAGATGGTGACTTTAGTGAGAAATTTACTATGAAGGAGAAAAAAAAAGTACAACAAAGAGTATTATTGTGTGGTTCAAATCTGGAGTTTTTGAGATTAGAGAGTCTTGCTGTTTTTGAGACAAACATAAGTCATCAAATTGATAAGGTCTGCCTTTTTTTGTGGAAGCATGCCTGGGTGGCTGTATCCAAGAGACTTCCATCTCATTATGTAAAATAATATTATATCAGCTAATTGCTGGAGCTTCATATCTCATGCAATGAAAAGTATGGCATGTCCCTATGACCTTTTACATCACAGTACTTAGTTAGGCTGACTGTTCTCAAACCTTAAAGTACTTCCCCTGACTTTCTTGGCACCTTTGTTACTCCTTTCCTCTTAAAGCTCTTGGCTTCTCTACTCACCCTAGTGAATCTTGCCAGCTTGGTGGGGAGAGAGGTTCTTTATGTCTTTCCTAATTGCCAATTAGCTAATTTGATAAATTCATCTAAGATAGAGTGCTAATGGGGAAATACTTCCTTCCAAGTTGAACATGGTTTATAACAGGGACTTCATGGAGAATGCTGCACTGGTGAAAATTTCAAATCAAACGAGGGGGTGGTGCAGTCAATATACTATATTTCTCCTCACTTCATGCTCCACGGCCTCCTATTCTACCTGTATTTAGAGCTGTTTCTATAAATGTGATTTAGCAGAAGGTGTGGGCACAGCTTATGAGTACAACAGATTCATTATTTTTTTGGTGAATGAAATAAAAAAAGAAAGCAAGAAGATACACTATTAGTAATACACAATGAAACACCACCAGTTGCACAAAAATGCACTTCCTTATAAAGTATTGGTAATGTACTACATTTAACCATGATTTGTTATTAATTCATTAAAATGCTTAAATTGATTTTTAAACATCAGCACTGATTATATCAGTCTAACAGTCATTCACTAAGTATTGGGTACTACAGAGGAGACACGAGAACTATCAAAGAAATTATAACCACATTGAGAAGCAAAGACTCCCACATGAGGAACAGATTAGAAAACAACATAGTAAGATAATAAATTATATGGTTACAGATAATAAATGCAAAGCATATATCAAGCTCTTCAAGGTCAGGACTTCTTAAAAATAGAAAAACTAGTAAGAGCCCTTTGCATTTCTAAAGATTTTCTTTGCAAGTTATACTCCAGTTTATGTACCTTATAATCCTGTTATCTTATTTCTTCCTGCCTAACAGTGATCCTTGTAGTATTTGGAGGGCCTTTTTTTGAACTGTGGATATCATTTGGACCCCTAGGTAAAGACAAGGCTGGACAAGTCAAATTAGTTTGTGAAATAGGACCTCTATCTTTTAATGACCATACCAATCTCATTTTAGGTAGAGGGCAGGAAGGTGTTAAAGCTCCCACTTTTTAAATCTACCCCTTTCTTCTCACTCATTGCTGTATTCCGTAACTGATAGTGGACCAAGAAGAGAAGCAAGGGTTTGGTAGCGCAGATGGGAACTGTGGTAGAACAGGCAGCCTTCGAGCCAAGTACTGATGGGGAAGAGGAAGGAGGAACGTGAAACAAAGGGGGCTTTCAGGAGAACCTGAAACCTGCCTGCGGAGGCCGTGCCTGTAGTAGGAGACAAGCAAGGCTGCCCATACGGATGCTGTCATTGGTTACATGGTTTTTAGTTTAAAATGGGAGGGCTAGAGAAAACACATTTGGAACAGGCTCCATCAATGAGATTTAACTTGGCTAATTCAGGACGGTTAAAATTATGTGGTTGGTTTTGTCAGTTTACCAATAACTTTGCTGCCCAAAGAGATTTGTTGGTTTCAAAGCAACTCTAATATGGATACTAGTAGGAGACTAAAAATAAATTAGAAGAAACACTGACAAATTTTGATATGGTTTAAGCTTTCTGAAAGAATGCCTTCTTGTGTAATAAGAGGAATAATCTGTTTACCTCTAACACTTTTTTTTCTCTTTTAAACATACAGACTTCCTTTCCAATGACTCCATCACTTGCAGCTAATCCTGCCATGGCTTTCAATCCTTACTTACCTCATCCTGGAATGGGCCTGGTTCCTGCTGAACTTTTACCAAATGCACCTGTTCTGATTTCTGGAAACCCACCTCTCGCGTTGCCAGGAGCTGCTGGTCCAAAACTGATGCGTTCAGATAAGCTGGAGGTATTTGTTTAGAAATATATAAATACCTATAGGGTAAGATATTAACCTTATGCATAAAACAACATTCTCAGGGCCCAATGTTTTGAATGCTTTAAATAAGTGCAACTGGGTTTTTAGTTAATGGAGTATAACCTCAGAAAAATGTTAAACATTTTTATACTGCAGTTATACCCTGTTGTGAAGTACGTTGGTCAGTTGTACGGTACATCAAACAGTGTCTTAGTGTACCCAGTCACAGACTGGGATGCGGAGTCCCCTTTGCTATGGCATGGGAAGTCTGGTTGGAATGCTCCTTTTACCCAGGCTCCAGCTTCATAGACTGGAATTACTCTATTTGTTGATGAGTCTCTACTTGCTAAAATAATCAAACTGAAAAAGTAGATACTCTGTGAATGAAGAGTCTAAATGAGTCTCATAGTGTCTGAACTTTTTCTCCATTTTAAGAATGATGTACTAGATATTAAGTATCCCTTGATGTCTAAGAAAAGAAAATCTGAAAGAAATTTCAAACAGCTGTCTAACTTATGGAAGTCCTTCAGACATCTTTTAATTATTATTCATAAGTTGAAATACATAATTAGTCAATTTCTCCCACTGTCAGCTCCACTGGCAACTCCTTAAATGCCTGGCAGTATATCATAATGGAATCCGATTGTATATGTAATGTAATACGTCCATGGTCCACAAATCTGCTTGTGGACAAGCACATTGCTATGTGATAAAGACTCATCTTGGACCTGAATAAAATAACTCCCTCTTGCAAGCTTAGCTAATTACAGTTTAGGGTGTGTATTAAGTGGAAGATTAAAAAATGGTTTCCAATAACACTTTTAAGCATTTTTATTTCAATGTAAGGAAAACAGACAACTTTGGGGGGAATGGAATTGTTTTTCTAGGAGTAGAAATTGTGTTTACATCTCATAGTGAATATGGATTCACACTATGCTTCAGATTTTTAGATTTTTTTCCTAAGTAGATGACAAAATAACATGTTCTATTCCTTTTACATTCACTGGCAAAATAAATAAAAGCTAATCACCTTCAGTCAGCAATGTGATTTTTTTTTCTTTAAGGTTTGCCGAGAGTTTCAGCGTGGAAATTGTACCCGTGGTGAGAATGATTGCCGCTATGCTCACCCTACCGATGTTGCTATGATTGAGGCAAGTGATAATACTGTGACCATCTGCATGGATTACATCAAAGGCCGATGCTCCCGGGAGAAATGCAAGTACTTTCATCCTCCTCCACACTTGCAAGCCAAACTCAAGGCATCTCATCACCAGATGAACCATTCAGCTGCCACTGCAATGGTAAGAACAGGCCAGGACTTGTGCACTGTATTTTGGGGTAAATGATTAGTATCTTCCTCAATGTGTGTAATATCTTGTAACAGTAATCTTGGATAGTCATGAGTTGACCTTAATATGAATAGCCAAGGTGATAAGCAGGAAAAGAGAACCTATTTATTCTACTTCATTCACTAAAATTTTCTAAAGGTAATTATTTAAAAGCTTTACTGATGATTTTCATCTACTGTGCTTGTTCTCTCATTTTTAGAGAAAGAGAAAATTATATAATTTAAACAGTCAATTATTTTTGAGGGGTTTTTAAAGCCTGACTAACCTTAGTACCCCCAAAAAAGGCAGCAGATTGCTTCTCTGCCTGTGAGCCATAATTGATAGTGGATGCTTTTCTACTAACATCCTGTAATGCCTTTCAAAAACAGAGGACTTGGAAGATGGGATGGTAAGTGGGCTGTAATTTCCCAAAGGTTAAGGTTCTTTTTCCTTTAGGGAGGAGTGGTTTCAAGGCAGCAGCCAGGGGAGGCTGGAGACACATGTCTATAATACATGGTTGGGAGAAGAGGCCTGGCAAATAGAGTTGTCCTAGTGAGTCAGTTTTGGGAAAAGTTAGTTCTACTTAACACTGAAAGGTAGGAGCGAGGAAACATATTTGCATACCACACTACAGTGTGTTAGGTTGAGAAATAGGAATTGTGATTACTTAAGTTTGTCACAGCTGTCAATCATTTTGATAAGCTACTTGCTATTGCTTTATTTCTCAGCCTGAGCCTTTCCTCATGTAATAGGGTATAACAGTCCAATGAGGGACAAAACCCTGAGGAAACTTCACATTTTTGTGGAGGAAAATCACCGACACAACCCTGAAGCCCCTGACAGAAACTTTACCTTTTCATAAGAGAGGATATTTGTTTTCAAACACCCCTATTTGTTAACGTTTTCCTCATAATGAATTGAAATCTACCTCGCTGTAACTGGAACTTACACTTATTTTATAACAGAAAACAAGTGAAGCCCTATTCCATATGAGTGTGAGTCTGATGTCTTTTCTCTAAACCAGGCACCCCACATTTCTCCAAACTTTTCTTGTAGGTTATGGCTTTAAGGACACAGCACCAATTTTGGACTTGTTCCACTTTTTCAATCCCCCTTGTTCTCTCAGAACTGAACCCATTACTTTGTGAAAGATCTGAGCACCAAAGTAGAACAAACTTATTTTCTCCCTTGATCTGGACAATATAATCTGTTAATGAATGTTAAAAAAAGACTTCACCACATGTTTTTATCTTAAATTCCTTTGAATGAGGGTATTTTAAGCTATGAAAATATGAAGCTATCCAAAATGTTCAATGTAGAATTTAAGCCTCCAATTTTTGGATTATTTCTGTTGGTGGCATAGAGTTCAGAAACAATGTGTACCTATTACAAAGGAAAGGAATATAGTTGGTCCCCTAAAAATAAAGGTTGTCATATGCGTGGGGCATATAATAAATGGCTTACTTGTGCCATTGTGTACCTGTCCCACACTCAGGCATGGAGCCTTCATATGTGTGGGCCCATTTCTGATGATCTGGGTGGGTTTGGTAGGCTGCATATAAGTCAGCCCCAAACTTCCACATAGAAATTTAAATTTTATATAGTAGGCCTTCAATTGGTACTTGTGAATGTCAATATAAAATTCCTTTCTGAGTAACTGATCAGAGCAGAGTCTTAGTGGTAAAGTCAAATTGGCCCATAGGAATTTGAAGTAAGATTAAACAAAGGAGGCTTTCCATGAAGAAGTTTAAGCTTTCTATATTTTTAAGGATTCAGAGTAGAAATGCTTTGTAAAGGAGATAGTTTTACACTGTTCGTGTGCATAGTTCAGGTTGGCTTCACTGAAAGCAGCTTATATGCACTTAAAAGAAAAAGACTTGAAAGTCTGATATTTAATTTCTCAAAGAAAATAGAGGTAATCTTTTGGCCTTCTTTATCCACAGGAGTATGGAGGTTATGGTATATCCCTTTTTAGCATGTGGAAGGCTAGTTACTCAGCACAAGTGTTCCTGTCTCCTTAGGAATTTGGAGCATACCTAGTTGTTGTTGCTGGGACATGTTTTTTAAGTAATGTGCAATTTGCTGAGAAAAAATGTAATGCCAGAGTTCTCCAATGAGTCTGATCCAGGGACAAGTTTGACTGAGTTATAAGTGCAGTGGGATTTTGAATGAATTGTAGATGTGAAAGAATGATTATTAAATGTTAATACATTCTAGAATTAAATGTTACATGGACTTAAAGCAAATTGCACATAACTGAAATGCACAGCAAGCCTCTATAAATGAGAATTGCATACATTTGCTATGGTATCTGGGTGAGGTGGGTGATGGGGGGGGAAATAATTCATTTGCTTTTTCCTTGCATGTTAGTTGGAAGATATATAGTTATAAGATTAGACCTGAAGTCATTGTATAAATTGGATTTTGTTTTATAGAGCTACAGTATCAGACTCCAACTACTGATATCTGTTTTATCACCTATATATTATTTATCTCATAGATCCACATCCAAATTTTAACTGGAAGAAATCTCTTTCCTGCTATAGCTGTTGCCTCTGCTAATTTTGTTTTAGTAGATTAATATATCAGCATCCCTGAGATGTTAATTTTAAATGCTTATTTGCTTAGTTTCTCATTGATGGGAAACTCGATCATAGATTTTGGTGTAATATTCTAATATTAAATTTTTACAGTTTCATTTCAGCCAACAGAAAACCTTTTGAAATTATTTAACTTAAGATCTCTATAGATTTATAATAGAGACATACTCTAGATCTTCTAGATGCATAACCTAATGTCCTTCAGAAAGGAAATTACTTAAATTAGATTTAAATAGGATTTTCCCCCCAGAATACTCTTAAATGAAAAAAGAAATGATAAGTACATTCAATGTTATCAGAGTAGAAGAGAATAAATGTATAATTTACCCATTACATGCAATTTGAATTTTTTAACCTTTTCATTTCTTTATAGTTAGAAATATTCATTAGGAATTCAAATGTGTTTATATGTGTAAGAGTATTATATTTATACATAAAATACGCAAGATATTTTTGAACTTGTGAGTATAATATCTGGGCTTATAAAGAACTGATGTAAAATAATTCATTAATCAGGAATTAATCTAACCATTACAACAGTTTGGTGAGATAATGTCTATTAGAAAACTTATACTGGAATTTTCTGTTTAAAATTTAAGTTAGATTTTTTTAAGTTCAAGTAATACATTGGTGCTTCATGTCTATCTTCATAAAGAAAGCAAGTTTTCTTATCTCTAAAATATATATAAGATATACATAAATAAAACTCATATCAGTGATTATACAGACTTCTGTCATGGTGATTATAAATAAAAAGACTAATCACATGATTGAGAGTACAGCTTTAATAACGGAATATTACACATATCAAAAAGAAATACAGGGCCAGCTGAGTGACGCGTTGGTTAAGAGTTGGCTTGGGATGCCAGCTCTGAGCAGCAGGGCCCCACATGAGGGCCAGTGACTCTGCACCCTCTACAGCTAAGATGGTGAACAGCAGCTCGACCTGGAGCTGGGCTGCCGTGAGTCGCCGGCGACGGCGTAGGCTGCAGTGGGGCTGGCCGGCAGTGGGCATGCGCTTTCGTGAGCTGCCTTGAGCCGCCGTGAGTGGCCGTCCAATGGCCAGCGAGCAACTCCCTCACCCGGGAAGAGCACAATGATAATACCAACATGGGCCAGTGAAGCGACGTCCTCCACAACTAGACTGAAGAGCAAAAGGACAGTAACTTGTCTGTTCCTCTCCCCAAATTTCCCAATAAAATCTAAAAAAGAAAAAGAAATACAACATTTTCAATCTATTTAAATACATATCTTGTCAGTGAAGATTGGTGCACATATTTTTGTTAGTTTTCCAATAGCACTTGAATACATCATAATTTAGTGAATTTCAGGGAGTTTGGGGATTTTATAGGTACTAAAGTATATTATTTTTTTCCCTCTGTTCTAAATGTAAATGTAATACCAATATGATAAAATATATTTTATATAGGTATATTTTTAATTAAAGGCATTCAACAACCATAAACTTTCAGTATGTAACAGGTTCCTGTGCAACAAAGAACAATGTGATCTCTAGACAGCCTTTTTGTGTGGATTTTCATTGATAATACATTTCAGAACACTGTAATATAAAAATGAACAAAGAAAAAAATTTTTATTATTATCTCTGGGTAGTGTACAATGCAGATTTTATCAGTACTTTTGTAAGGAAAAGCACAAATCTCTCACCTATTAAACATAAATTAACATAAAGTATACACTGGAGTCCAAAGACAAAATGGAACAGATAGTATTATTGATTAGGAAGTCCAAATACAATGGAGTAATTTGCATTATTTTTACCATTATTCCTGTGCAACAAAAGAGCCGTAAAAGACATTGCAAGTTCGTCACACACATTCTTTTTTATTTGTACTTTTGTTCTACTTGAGAAAATGTATTATTTGATATATTGAATAAATCTATTCCCCACCCCCACCCCCATAATGGTAAAAATGAATAAATAAATAAATAAATAAATAAATAAATACTTATTTGCTGTTAACAGTTTCCTGTCACATCCTGTCCAAATGATGAGGTCCTTTCTTATTTGCCTAACTTAGTGAAATTTAAAATCATTTTTTCCCCTTGTATGTTTATTTTCTGGTTTATTTTCTGCTTTGGACTAAGTCCTCATTTAGTGAACTGTGTCATCTATGCAGTTGGTTACCTTGCTCCATGAATATCCTTGCAGTGGGTTCCCAGACCATACCTTATCTAACTGCTGCTTGCTTGGTTTGAGTACATTCTTTATTTTTTTGGTGCTTTTTATTAATCCATCTCTCCTTCACAGGCCCTACAGCTTGGTGCATTTCATCTGATACCAAAGAGATCAGCACTTGAAAAGGCCAATAGGGCCACCCCGGTCTTTAATCCCAGTGTTTTCCACTGCCAGCAGGCTCTGGCTAACCTGCAGCTCCTGCAGCAGCAGCAGCCAGCGTTTCTCCCTGGAGGTGAGAACAGGGCTCTGGGCACTACCACTTTAGTGATGTTGTGAATGTATACAGTGCCTACCAGCTCCCAAAAGAGCTTTTATACAAGGACTGTCAACAGGTGTTTTGACTGGGAATGAAACAAGACAGTTTGATCTGCTAGTATATATAACAAACTTTTTTTTCTGTAAGTCTCGAAAACTAATGGTTTGAAATCAAACTGGGAAAAACTGTCAACGTTTTTCTTTTTAGCATTTCTTAAGTTTTGCTTCTTATCATTGATTCACTTGGTTCATTCTCAAACTAATTCCTTGATTCTTAGGTATCATTTTCAAAGACATTGGTCTGCCCTCAAAAAAAATGTTTCCCAACTTCAGCATTGCAAAAATATGTAGTCTATATCTTTGATAAAGCTACCCTTAAATTTATAAATTTATAGTATTTTATATATATATATATATATACACACATATATATGTATATATGTGTATATATGTATATATATATATATATGTATGTATAAAATAGGTAATTTTAGCCTCTAATTCTTAAACCAGTTAATATAAAAAATATAGCGGTTTACCCGATATAGTTTCCTGACACTTTGCAGCATATTTTGTTACCTCCCATATTCAACGGTATTTAATAGCATAACAGTTTTATACCAAATTGAATTAAAAAATTTTAAGCCAGAATTTCGTTCAAATAAATATAATATATGAGGGAAAATACTTTTTTTGTAATGGTTCAGTGCTTTGAGAATGAGCATATGGTGGTCTCTTAGGAATAAATTGAAAATACTAACTACCCAGAGTACAGTAGATTTTTTTTTTGCCAGAATTATAAATGCAAAGTGTGGTAACTATTTTTAAATGAAAGTGACATGCTTTAAAAATGAATTTCGGAAGCCTTGTTAATTATATAGACATACTAAATGCACAGTATTATATAACGACTTGAAAAAAACCTGTTGGTTAAGTGATAAATTGATCAGTTAATAAATTTTGAAAGAAACCATTAAAAAAAGTCTTTTGTCTAGTTATTAGCCACAATACTTTTCCATGATATCATTTAAAAAACACAATTTTTACGATACTTAGACTTTTTTCTGGATTGGGCTTATTTGAAATCTAGATTTATAAGTGAAAATATCAGCAGAATCCTTTCCCCCTTAATTAATAGGAAAATAAAAACCTCTCAGGCTGAGAGCCCCCTCTTGATGAAAAGCCTATTTGCCATCGTTTCACAGTGAAGTCTTCAATTGCAATGTGAAAGAGGCAGTGATAATAGATTAAAGAACTATTGTCACCAGGTACCAGATCCTTGTGCATATTTTGAAAATAATGTGTGTAATAAATTAAATTTTTCCCTTTTATGATTAAAGTTATTTATATTTGTCCAAAATAAATAAAGGATATAATTTAAGTGAGGAATTCCTTTAAAGAGCAATTAATATTCACTTTTATACCTAAGAATCTAAGAATTACTTTGATTACCTGGGTTTGTGATCTTAAAACTAAGCTGTAATTATAGGCATGGAAGATTACTGGATTTGCATGTGCTGATTACTTAATATTGCAAACAGTATCTTTCTAGTTAAAATTTATTTCTATTAGTAAAGCTTTAATAATTAAATATCTCTTTTCTTTACTTTTCACGCTTTTCTGCATGGTGTACAGGGCAAATACTGTGCATGGCACCTGCTTCAAGTATGGGTAGGTTTTGTACAAAAATTCTCAACTTTTTCTAATCTGAAAAAAGTGTTTACTTGTTGTGACTATGATAGAGATGAGTGAGTGAATGATGTGGCTAGACATTTTCTGAGTATTTAAGGTTTGATACGGTACTGTTTTCATGTCTTTGTGGAATCTCAATAGTGTTGCACTTTCAAGTCCTAGTTGGTTGCCACTTTGGCCAAATACTGACCCTTCCATTTCTCTATTTTCACCCTAAAAATTACAGCTGAAATATGCTGAAACATTTCCTTATCTAGTCAGAATGGGCAGCTTTGTTCTTAGCTTTACATCTGTTATTAAGAAATTATAAAATATTTCAAATGCACAATTTGTAAAGTACAAAAATAATTTCTCCAAAAAAGTTATCCATAAGATTTAAATTATTCAATACTCGGATGTTTTCAAAGGATGAGTTAAGCAAAGCTAGAGTATTCCATAGTGTTCTGTGACGAATTCTATGAGTGTTCTAGGATGAAGTGTCATCTGCATAGAAACCAGGCACAGCAGAATCATTTCAAAATGACTCCTTGGAGGTATGTGATTTTTAACCAGTTACATACAGATCCTTTACTTAGCCACCAATACAATATGGTAGTTGTCTCAAAACCATTTTGTACATCACTAATACAGAAGAAGACAAGAAAGTGACTTGTTTCCCTCTTAAGAATTCCTAGGGAGTTCACAGCTCCTATAGTCCCCATGGGCACCAGGAACAGAGCAGGAGAAAATAGCTCTGATACAGGGAGGAATTATCCCACCCCACTCCACCATCTCATATCAATCCAGTTCCTTTCATCCTTTTTGAATGATTGCAATAGCTTGACCCCAATCACATTGGTCGACCAGAGTAGATGCAGAGCCCAAAAAGGACCAAAAGGCTTATTGAGATAAAACAAAAGGTCAAAATGACCACCATATAGTAACACTCAGTAATACAGCAGGGTGTGAACCCTGGCAACCAAGGTGAGGCCTCTGTTATTAAGGGATTGGCTGTCCCCTGTAAGAATTAAGAACATTTCCACTGATACTAACAGGAGCAGTATATGCATATGACTAGAACAAGCTTCCGCAAGTTTGTGAAATGTGTCTCTGTCTTCACATTTTGTAACGGCTCCCCTGCCCTTTCACCTAAGAGCTCTGTGTAGGAATGCAAACTGCATGCTTCCAGTATAGTTGCTGCACTCCCAAAAAGGAAAACGAGCGTTTTTAGAATTGGCACGTTGTACAGTAAGGGATGTCTGTAAGTAATGGATAACTAGAGATAAGCATAATGAATAACTACAGAGTCTGTGAATCACCATTTGGGGTACAATTGTAGTTTCTAAGACTTTGCATATGTTGATTTTTCTCTCCCCAGGTCATTCACTTTCTCTGTAGACTCAGAAAACCTGAATATTATCAATGTAGACGTAAATTATTATATATGCATGCTTGCCATTCACACATTAATTCCTTGATTTGCTTTCCAAAATGAACTAGAAGTGAGAATAGCATCCAAAAAGCTTTTAAAATGGGGTAGAAACTAGAAAAGCCAATGAAAAAACATCCTGAAAGAAATGTCGCAGCTGCTAGCCATCACAGCTCTAATATTTACGGTGAAGATGAGATTTTGTCAGATATTTACTATGAAGTATCCCATGTGTTTGTTTGATAAGTAGCCTAAATTTCAAGGGGTCTGCCAGACATAAGTGTACTTAAAAACCTGTACACGCAGGCCATTGTATTCTTTACATCTGCTCCTCTACCATGTACCCACCAATTGAACTGCCATTTGTTTGGCATGCAGATCAGGTAAGTGTACATATAACTGTCCCTTTGAACCTGCAAATCTAGTGACAGCACTCATGTCTGTAAGTTCGTGAACCCAAACACCGACTCACAGTCCCCTGCTGCAGTTTTGAATGTGTAACCCAGTCACTTGTTTGCTTAACTAGCTATTCATACAGATAGCCTTGGTAAAATCAGATTACATCATGTGCACCCATTGTAACCCCTTCTGCAAATTTGGCCTTTTAAGTCAAATAAAATGTGATTCTACTCAAAAACTAACTAAATGTTGAGAATAACTCAGTTTTCCCTAATGTGAACTATGATGGGCTTTCCCTTTCCTCTTTTTAAATTTTTCCCCATTCTGTTCTGTGTTGCTTTGCACTGACTGTGATTGCATGATGCCCCCTCGATACATCATGACGATGTCACATGGCTTGTTGCTGCGATACCTACCACGCCCCATTCCATCGTTTATGTCATGGTTACATATATGCTTCACCCTCCCGTGTGTGGCTTCCATGGTTTCCTACTGAAAGTGCCCATGATGCACAGCGCTACACCTACCACTGTGTCTGCTGCAACAACACCTGCCACCAGCGGCCCCTTCGCTGCAACAGCTACAGGCAATCAGGTTTGGCCATTTATTTCACCTAGATAACTACAGTGTGTTGGTAAGACACAGTATATGCTTTTTGGATTGGTGAGAGACATTGGTCCATATTCTTATGTGATTCTTAAGCAGTTGTTACATTTAGGATTTTTATTTTTGTGTTTATTCTAGAGGTATGTATCTGTTTTGCTACTTACCCTGAGATGAATCAGCAGAGTTTTCTCATTTTCATTCCGTTACCAGATTTCTCTCTTGGTATGCTACTACACCAATCCTTAAATGTATATACTAAATATTTCTTAAATGCTTCCTCATTAGTCAAGAGGTGAATTTGTTTTATTTTACTACTATTTTTTATTGTGGCTTTTAAATTTCACTTAGTACAATCATCACCTTTACCTTCAGATCTACTGGAAAGAAAGCAAGTAAACACATTTCTTTCCAAGGCACAGATATCCCTATCATTACCCAGTAATTGCATCAGAAATTCTCATACTGACATTAGATGTGCTTGTGTTGTTTTGATTTTCATTTGCTTTAGGTATTTGCAGACGGAATCACAAGGGAAATTATAAATTTTGGGGGTGTCTTGAAATTGTAAGGAGAAACAAACAATTATTGTGTAATGTTATGGCTGTTTTGCCTTATTAAAGTGGTAACCACTGCAAAGTCCACTGCTGTTTCAATTATAAGTATGATAACCATATAGCACACAAAGCGTTAATTAATTGGGGGAACAAACCACATTCTAATCTGTGCTTTGCAAAATTAACTATTAATGGATATTGCTAATATGTCTAAATTTTCCTGTTATATTGATTATGGTATTGATTACCATGTCCAAGCAGCAAACAAAATAAATGGAATTCTCTCAAGAAATTATTTTAATCTAAAATCTTTTTTACTACTATAGATACCCCCATTATCAGTAGATGAACTGAATAGCACCATGTTTGTTTCACAGATGTAGAAGTTACCAGTAGAACAGTAAGTTTTTTTAAGCATTAATATAAGTAATATTTATAGGTTATATAATTTATTTACACAATTGCATTTGTTAAAGCTTTGGTAAATATTGTCATTAATAGATATTGCTTATAATGTAGAGCTTGATGTAAGCATTCTAAAATTTCCAAATTGAAAGGTAGTGAGCAAATATGCAATTTTTATATGAAAATGACTTCTGGTTCTCTAATGAGCTTACAAATTCTGAAATGTTTTCCTGTTATTAAAGGGGTATGATTTGTTAGCCAAAGACAGAGATCACTTTTGAATTTTAATCCTTTAACATTTTCTAGCTACTTTTTAAAATTAAAGTTAAGCAAAGTAATTTTGTCACAATTTGACTGCAATGCTTATCTGAAAGACAGTAAGCAATACGCTTCTCCCATGTCATGATGGAAAATAGCATTTGTACAGTCTGCCACTTTGTACTGCTTCCCATGTAAGTCTTATCAGAATTGCTCCAGCTGTTTTGAATTTTGAGCAACATAATTTAGTAATGTAATCATTATTTTCATTGAAATCATGGCTTTTTTGTGTGCAATTTTTGTTGTTGTTGAATTTTCCCCCTTCACCTTTGATCTCTTTGCCTGGTCCATGAGCCCGTAATGGTACACACTTAATATGAACAATTGTTCACTTGAAACATGGGACTTTTGAAGCCACTTAAGATACCTAGATAGCTTAATTAATTAATTAATTAATTATAGGGACTTATTAAATATACCAATTCTGAATTGCATACAATAGTCATTGAAAATTTGAAGTTCTCACAACCAGAGGGTTTCATTTGATTGAAGAAGGCAACAGTTCTGTTCTCTTGATGGGATAATTCCCCAGAACCTGGCTAGCATTTCTTTCTTGCTGAGGATACACAGGCCCAGAACACTAACTGCTCTGGACAGAGCCTATAGCTGATGTACATTAGATAAATAGGTCCCCTCAATCATAAGAAATGTTTTACAAAGATACCTTTGAGTACATGAAATACCTGAAGTAGCTGTGAATTGTAATAGTTTTCAAGGGTATCATTTGGGATAGTGACAACTTGGGAATAGCACCAAACACGAGACTAGGGGTTTTGCAATCACTTGCCTGATTCTTACGGGCAGCTTCACATCAAGGTAAACGAAAGTTGTCAAATTAACTTTCCAGCAGAACATGTTTGAGAGTAGTGATTCCTTTTTGCCTGATTCCATTAGAAAATTTAGAGGCATTTGGCACCCCATAATCAATTCAACATGTAACATGTTGAAAATTTCTCCAAAGTTCCAAAAATGTAATTTTATATAAAATGCTATATAGTGCCTAGATTTCACACTTAGGCTATTTCTGCACAGCTCTGACACACTCAGGAAAAAAAAAGTTTTCTGCAAGGCTCCAAACTATTCAGATAAAAAGTTTAAAGTTTATTTAATGTTTGCATATTTCAAATATTTGGAATCAAACATGTTTTTTCAGTATATGCTTGTTGATGGAATTGGATGGATGGATAGACATTCGTCAATAAGCTTCGGCATTGTGTAGATAATGCCTTAAAGAACTGAGCACACCCCTATTAACTTAGGGCAATTCTGCGCGTTAGCACTCAGAACCAGACTGTCATGGTATATGATTCTTTTGAAACCATCTCCAACAGCCCCATTTTTACGGATGTATTGTAGAATATGAAATAAAGAGTGGGGAATGTCTTGGCCTAGTACACATACAGAACTGGAACAAGAACCAAATGTCCTGACTCCTGCTTCAATAACCCTTCAATATTTCTCATTGTTTTTTTTTCATTTCAGTTGTAATTCTGAACAACAGAGTTATGAAGTATCAGAATCCCTCCGTGAGACCTCCGTATGGCCTTTCTATATATATTCTTGTAAGCCCTCTTCCACCAACCCAACAATAAGTGTGGTACAGACAATATACTAAACAATACAAAAATACCAACCAACAAATTCAAACTAAAAATAAAGCATCAAACAATCAGTGGGTATGTTAAAACAAAACAGGAAAGCAAACTAACTACCCTCTATCTTATTTGAATTATTAGGTAGAACACCACCATAAAATTGTGTAATTTGTTACATTATTCTTTGTGATGTTCTAATAACTATTATGCTGAGTGGATCTCCATAGTGGATCTTTGGCTTACTGTGCATTCTTGGTGGATAAATGTTTGTCTGTTTTGAAGTGTTACCTTACTGCTTTGTTTACACAGTAGCCTATTGGGTTGATTTAGAATTGTAGAAATTATGTCCAAAAACCATTTTCTCCATTATTGTATTGTATTGAATTGCATTTGTATTGTGGTATATTGTGTTAGGTTTTTACATACTACAGTGCTTTGCTGTAATATGTGTGGTGTTTGATTTCAACTAAAATGTTATTAATGGGAAACAGAAATATGTGGGCTTGAAAAACATAACAGGTTAATGTTAATATGCTTTCTCTCTAGAATATTTATGTAGGTTTCTTGGGGGAGCCATTTAAAAGACCTCACTTTTGAATGTTCACAAAACCTGTTCATAAAATGCATGTGAACAAGTTATACCTGCAGATCTGTCCTTGCGTAATACAATCACATTACTAGATTTTTTTATGAGAGAGACATAATCGCCTGCAAAAAAACAGGGAACTTCTTAAAACACTAACCACTAATTTCACTCCTTAAATAGCTTGAAAAACTAGAAATTTAACTTCAAGTGAATTTTTCAGCATTCATACTAAAAAATACCTAAAGTGCCCATTACATTTCTTAGTGGCACAAGGATCCTATCTTCTAAGTTGAGGGTCTAAAACAGCCATTTGTCATCTTCAGCTGAAAAATTGGTACTTGGAGGCTTAAAAGTATGCTAATTACAGGTTATAAATTGAACAGGAGATGGGAGCATGGAGATATTTTTTACATATTGGAGGAAAGTGTGTAAAAACCATTGCAATGTAACCTTGTACACAAGAGACATTTTCCAAATGCAAATGGCTCATGCTCTTTAGGCTACTCTTTGAATAATAATAAGATGCAATCTAACAAAAGTCAGTTGGGGTGAAAGAGAATTGGTCCCAAGTGAGTTCTTTCCTCCCCAAATGGACAATCTTTTCTGTTGATCACAGTTGGAGCCTGAGTATAGGTTTGGAGAAATGGCAGGGGTGGAGATAGGAAGACATTTAAAAGTATTCTTTGATTTATTTAAAAGTTCTAGGAAGGATGTCCATAGTTGTCTTTATCTCTAGTTCAACTGAGTTTCCAGTTTTGTTAAACACTTCAGTGAAGGAGCAAGCACCTGTGATACATGTCAAGTGTTGCTGTTCCCAAACTTTATTAACAGAGTCTCTCTCATCATAACCAATTTGGTTTGGATTCATTAGTTTTTATATGTATTTGAAAATTATAATAAAGAGGTTTTTAAGACCCTTTGAACTGCACTCTGCAGAGCTGAGCTGAATTCACATTACTAATTCTTATGAAATAATTTTATAACCAAGTAAAATAGTAATTCCTATGTTATGTGGCATAACTCCTCCACTCTACTCAGTTATTAAAGTTACTATCATTATACAGTTGTGGACCCATGTGATATTTTGCATCAACTTAGATTTATTATTTTCTACTAAATACATATTGTCTCACTAGAAAGTATAAAATCATCAAATGTGTGTATCAGGTTCGTTTACTTCAGGAAAATGACAAAGAGATAACCTGACTTAGGATACCTTAAGCAGGCTAGTAGTATTTGAATCACAGAAATATCTCGACTCCCAGTCGTTCTTCTGTTTCACATTGTTTGTATTTCAGAACATTTGAGACTGCATCCCAAAGCAGATCAATTTAATTCAGAATACAAAAGAGCAAAATTAGCTCGTTGGTAGTTGATAACCTGTTGATCTTAATTATCAATCGAAATCATTATCATCAGTGATTTCTACGTGGCTTTGCTTGCATCGAGCCATTGCCATCTGTTAACAGTATTGTGTGGAGTTAAAGAACAAGAAGTGCCCAGAGTTTTACCTATTGATTCTTTGAACCACTTAATTGCTTTTTCCCCAAATCTTCACATTGTTAGAAAGGAAAGGAGAGTATGCCTTTGTGAAATTGCTTGTGTTTGGAACTGAGTTTTGTATAACCTGTGCCAGTGCCTCTCCAGGAGGGCAGATATGATCACAGGACTCCAGGAAAGATGCACCAGAGCTAATCTGGATGTATTCCTGAAGGAGATAGAGATGTTTTCAGTGCAAAATTAACTTTTTTGGTGTAGTTTGACATTTTGATGCAACATACTGTCTCATTTAACTTTAAACTTTTGACAAAGTTGTTCATAGACAGTAAACCTAGAGTACAGCTGTTTTCATGTTGCTTTAAGCACTGGAAGACATTAATAATGACTTATTTTTTAGTAAGAGGTTTGGTGAGGAATATTCAGGGTAGTTGTATTTCAGGTGCCACGGTTTTTGATATTGTTGGCATTTTAAAAGTTGCTTTATAAATGGATTCAGAGAAAGAAAAGTCAAAACACTAAGTTTTGACCTAGATGCTAAAGAATTTTGACAAAAAATGCAATTTTAAGATAGCATTCTTTGAACTAGTTGTGTAATGACATATCTTTATTGAAGAAAAAGAAAAGAAGAAAGGTTAGTCATTAGACTACAGATTATCTTTATTCAAGAGAAGAAGAAAAGTTAGTCATTAGACTATATAAAGAGAAGTCACAAAACTAATCAGTGACTCTAAACGATAATTTACCAAATGAGTTGTATATATAAAATTTTAATCATTTGTGATTCTTAGTTAACGTTTTATTAGCTTTGTAATTTACAAGGGCCTCTAGTTTTGCTTATCCAAAATTGATGTTTCTGTTAATTTCTTTCAGCCTTTTGCAAAAATGTGCAAGAGTGCTGAAACTTGGATAACATAAGTCATGTATACAGAGAGACTAGTCTAAAAGTTATCTTTTGAGAGGGTTTTAGTAGTGTCAATTTTTTAAAAGCACTGTGACCGTAACATATATTTTCAAGAGGGATTAAGATTAAATTAAAATTAAATGGATTCATAAAATTGCTATCTCAATACAGTATTTACTTTTACAATTAGAGCATGATTCCACAGCCAGCTGTTGCATTTCATTTCACTTGTCTAGATTCTGCTTTAATCGTGATATGAAAAACCATCTTGTCCCTACTCCATCAAACTTCCCCATCCATTTTTGAATGTGCTTTAATGTACTCTGATCTTGCCAAACCAGTGTCCTACACCATTGGGCTGTGTTCACTGATGGGCACCCTCAGCTCACCAGCTCTCCAATTTGGGGAAAGCAAGTACCTCCTCACTTCCATCAACAGGAGCCAATTAAAATTAACCTTTACAGCTTGAATCTGTTTTTAAGGCATGACCAGTAAGCATAGTAATGTCTGAATAAGGACAACACTGGCATTACATTTTATTAAGCAATATGTAAGGAAGGCCAGTGTACTACTTGGAATGTTATTTGGTTCTTTCCCCTCTCCTTTGGAGACCGTAGGTGAGCATGCTCTTAGGTAAAATGCAGCCACAAGGTTTCTGAGTTATTTTCATTTGTAGGATAGGCTGTTAGGCACAGAATGATTAGAAACTGGAACCCTCTTTCTTTAAACCTCTTCTACATTAAATACACATTGAAATAGAAATAGGGAAATATGATTTCCCAATTCTGTTGAATAGATTTAGAAAGATAGTGGCCTAATTTTAATTTTGCCAGTGCCTGAGGAAGGCAATAGAATGAATAGTATGTAAAAGAGTATAACTTTTTTTGCAAATTTAGTTGATAGTCTAATCAAACTGTAAATATAATTACAAATTAAGTTTCTCAGCACCAACATTGGTGCCATGTTTCCATTTTTCTTGTTAGTTTTTAAGTTTCTGATTTTATTATGTTTTATATCTCTAAGTAACTAATGAATATACTTTTGAAGGAGATTTAGAGAAAGTTTAAGATTTTACTACATGTATTCAACCTGCCTAGATAGGTTCTAAACTGACACTGAAGCATAACAAGAGATAGATTATAATCCATAACTATTCTTTACAGTTCACAGTTTAAGAACAAGCTTAACTTTAAATACAAATAATACTTTTAACTAATTATATTTAGTGGTTGCTTTAGCAACAAACTACAACATGGCTACCTTAAGACACCTTTTTTGGTGAAAATTTTACTTGTAAACTATACATGGTTTTTGACAGTATGAGCAAATAGAAGATACATCTCAAATCTCAGAAAAACAGACATGGTTGATTTTCTTTTTTAAGCCCAAATTCCCATGTGAAAGCTGAATTTGTGTCCTTGTGTGACTTTTTCATCAAAAAGTTTACAACACGTGGATTCTAGAATCAGTCTTTAAAGTTTATAGACTTTGTTGTAAGGATAGGGTTGTTCCACAGTACTTAGACTTCAAAACACAACGGCTACGTTTGGAATACATTACCTGACCTGTTTTCATAACTTCATTTATTCAAAATTATTCAAGTGGCATAGCTGTTAGATACAAAAATTCTTCTTTCTGGAGTCACATACTTACACAAATATATCCAAATGAGGATTAAAGAATGATAAAAGCATGTTATGAAATCCATTCCATTGCGAAACCATGCATCAAGATACTGTGGAATGACCCCTTAACAGTGTTTGAGAGCCATATTGCTGCAGTTAACTGATTGTCTCAGTTAGGGTGCGAATGTGTGAGACACACCTTTTTTGCACTTATGTACATAGTCCATGAAAGCAATCCTTGGAGCTTTTTTTTTAATAATATAAGAAGTCTGTGATAATAGTGGAAAAATTAGTAGGAGAGAGTTATTTCTGTGGCTTTGAGATGGAGGGTTTTTTTTTTTTTTGCTATAAGACTTAACTAAGGCATGATGTTGCTTTGCTGTCATGGAGGCTGTGTAGTTTGCTATAGCTGACTAAAAAGAGTAGACTGGTAACAGGTTCAGCTAACAGCACTGAGCAAAAGTAAAAGTATTTCATGTTTTAGCAAGATCACTAGCAGGGATTGTTTGCTTTTTAAATGAATCCTCACTATAAACACACACACACATGGTTGCAAGCAGTGAAATATTCTGTAAATTCCAAGATGGATATTCAAATTAGATTGCATCTTTCACAGAAAATTATCAATTGATGTATATCAGTTACATAAATTAATATCTATTTAAATAACAACCAAATTGTTCATGTTTACCACTATTTCCCCTTTAAAATCTAGAACCCAAAACCAAATTGGCAATCATTGAAAGATTTAACTTAACCATTAAGTATGGCCGGCATGGGGCATTTCTTTCCCTTCAATGCTCCTGGTACCACATTATATATAAATGCCTTTATTTACCTTGTACCTGTTCAGTGGAAGCTTTTCTGATTTACCTTTACCAGATTAGAAACTGCTTCATTGTGCTACTTCAGCCTCCCACTGTTCTAACTAAGCAGAAGAGAATCAGCCCAAATCTTACAGACTTCAGAGCTGGAAAAGAATGTTTCAATCAGACCATCTCTGCCAATTTCAACTCTCATACCACCTACAGATCACCATTTAACTTCTTGTTGCCTCCAGGCAAAATGATGCCTAGGAAAGGTCAAGGTTAGAAAGGTTTAAGGATAGATCACCACAGGTACTTTGAGTCTGCACCTTGGGACCTGTAGCTCTTGCCCTGAAGGAGCGGTCCTGGGATTGAGGGAGTTGTTATTAGTATTGCTACCCATTTTGATAGTTCTCACTTACAGAGACAGGAAAATAAGCCAAAGCTGGAAAGCAATCCAAGCCTTACGGTTGTCCAATAGCTCAGGGCCAGTTGGTTAGAAATATTTTTCCCCCTTTCAGCCCATATCACTTAGAGTCAACCATACAACTAACAGCCTGACCATCTGACCAGCATTTTCATCGACATAAAATGTAAGCATTCATTCATTCTGTATTTAAGAACTCCAACCTTATCACCAACGTATTTTCCCAACTTAACTCATGTTCTTGTGTTGACATTTCCTTGTGAATATATAAGCCACAAGAATATATTTTCACAAGGTCTATAAAATAGTAAGAATGAACCTAGAAGCATCACAAAAGGTTCAATTAATTGATCACATGTTGTGCCTGTTAACAGCCACTGGGTCACACTCTTTGGAGCTTAAACATAGTGGCTGGGTTTAAATAAGCAAAATTAGAGAATGAAATATAACAGAATGTGAATAACTTGAGGCCAAAAGAGGACCTCTGTTATTAAACTCAGGAAAAGATTTAGTTGACTAATTCATTACAGTTTCCAGCCTCTACACTTGTCTTTTCCTGAAAGAGAACTACCCACTTAATACTATATTCCGAAACAGGATTATTCCAGAGAAATCTTATCTTTAAGTAGAACCCATCCTCAATTATAGTACTATACCTAAAAGGAAAAAAAATGTATCACTATGAAATAAGTTGCAGATATTGCAAAAATCCTCACTAGTCGTCTCCTATATCATATTACTTTAATAAAATAAAATACCTCTGTAACAAGACCTAAAAGTAACCCAGCTTTAAGCAGTGCTCTATTTTCCCCCAAAGCACACAGCCTAAATATTTATCTTCATAGAACTACATGGTTCCAAAGCTTTATTTCTGTATACAGATGCTGTTTGTTAATGATGAAAACCAATTTTGTTTTGCTGTCTAGCAGTTGAGAGAATGATATAACCATCATATCATTGGATTCTGGGGTTGCCCATTTCAAAATAAATTGCCTTTTGTTGCTGCTTTAATTATTAGAAAATGAACCATTTGTTGTCATGTCCTCAAATTATAATAATTTAAAATAAGATTTTTTTAAAAGACGTTCTTAAATGTACTTTTTAAAAGGTCTAACTCTGAATTTATATAACAACAATCTGGTATAATGTAGAAAATGGAAACAAGCATTTGGGTATAAAATATCAATTTTAAAATACCTATAGATAAGAAAATGATTAGCCCTGTGCAACAATTATAGATTTGGACTACAAAATTTCATAAATATAAACGTCTCTTAATATTTTGCCTCCAGAATGCAGTAGCTCATGTCCTTACTGCTATCAATAGGGAAGATGCTTTGATTTTTGTTTTTTTTCCAAGTTATAGTGCTGTACTGCTTGTTTGTGCTTGTATGCATTGTACAACTCATTTTATAATGCTTTTTCTATGCTGTTTGTTTTTTGTTCTTTTAATAAAATGTTAAATTTCTTGGTTATGTCTTTTTTATGAATCCATATTCACACATTAGGAGTTCACTTAAAAGCTTTTCATGTCCTAGTATATTAATCCTAATATTTAGTAATTCTATCATAAAATTTAAGATTGTGATTTGGTTCAATGTTATATTTCATACATAGAATAAATTTATTTCCAAAGATACCATCAGTATTTTGAATTATATAGATAATATGTCCATTGTATTAGATTATTATTCCTATGATAGTGAATTTACTAACATAAGAAAAACACACTTGTATTTTCATAAAAGAAAACTGAAAATTTTGAAATAATGCTCACTGGTTTCTATTGTGCTTCAGAAATTCTGAGGCATATTCTAAGATATATTGTTAGAAGTTTGTATTTTCCAGTTATTCATTTCTACCCTGCATCTTCGATGTAACATGTGAAACCACTGCTGTTCATTTCATTCTTTTCAGATGGGCATCAAAGGTTTTATAACAATGGGATGCATGGATTTTTTTCATTAAAATATTTTCTCTCACTTAAAATTGGCTTTGTCCAATACATGGCATAAGAATGAAAGAATAATTATTTTGTTTTTTAAGAAAGAAAAATGTAACTTGAGGATACTTTATTCTGTCAGATTTCTAAATACTTAAAAACACTAATTGGTAACTTCTCGCTGGCCACCATTCCGTAGTGGGGCTGATCGAAAACTGTGGTGAAGAGACTTTGGCTGAGAGGTTATGACAGAATAAAGTATTGTTCACGCATCTATACCAGTGAAAAGAGCCAGGGAGGAGGTTGGGTCCCTGTCCTGTATCAGCTGAATCATGCAGAGCTACTAACTCCCTTGCCCATTGTGCTTTACTATTTCTAAGTATGGTTCCCACTGTGGCATTTCTTGATAAGTGGAATCTGAGCCCTTTCATGTGTTGTGCCTATTTCTGTGCGTCTGATAATCCCAGCACTAAAACCAATTCAGTATATAGACATCTACAAGAGACCTTTGGCCTCTTCAGAATTCAGTTTATGTCTTTCTCTTTGAAGCTGCTGAATGATAGGTAAGAATTCAGGGGAGGCATCCCTGATCATCATGAAAATGGTCTATTGGCCAGAAGAACGTTGACCCACAGGCAAAACCGGATATCAAACAAGTTTCCCTTGGCTCTTTTCAACCTCTTTGGCCAGCATTCTTCTAAGTCCCTCCTTTTCTCATCCCTCATGGTGGCCTCTGGCCCTCTAGAAGCCCCATAGTGGCAATTCATCAGGCCTGCTTTCCCAGGGAGAGCTGGACTTTTCTCCTTCAGAACTTTCCTGTTGGGCATCTCAGGCTATGGAGAGCAGCTCATAGCTGTGATCTAAGAGAAAACTCACTCTACGGTGTTAAAGATTGGCAGCACTTAATGTGCTGCCCCTCCTGGGAGTGTTGATGTTTAAAAAAGGCATGACTCTCCAGTGATCAAATATCAGACAGACACATGTGTAGACAGGTAGATATGTTCTACTCTAGGCACTTAAATAATAGCATTTAGGCAGTGATCAAATTCTTGTGGATGAGTGGTGCAGTCATTTACCAACCCAAGAAGGCCAAAAAAGGAAGACTTCGAATTTTGCTATTGTCAGGAAAGCTCTGATGTAATAATGAACCTAAAATATTGACTAGACAGTGAACATTCCCAAATTCCACAGACGAGAGTCCAGTCTCATGGTCAGTATCTGTAGTAGAAAGCATAACACAGTGATAGTCCTGATGCATGATCACACTTCTGGAATGGTCTGATGTCTATACTTGCTAACATTCAGCAGACAGACACACATACTCATTTTTTTTACTTGACTCTTTCTTGTACTAGAAATGCCAACTGAACTTAGTCCTCCCAGGTTTTCCTTTCAGTACCTGAACTTACATTTCTCCCATAGGCAGGAGGACAATGAGAGTCTGGGGAATAAAAACAAGAGCACCAATTATAGAAAGGGCAGCCACCCAGACATAACGGTGAGGTTTGTGAGAGGAACAGGAGGTCTGATTTCTGCCCTTACAAACTGATGCCCACAGCAAAAGCACAGCATTCCAAAGTAGATGCAGAAATCAGTATAAGGAGGAAGTTCCGGTCAATGTAGCCCAGCATTTTTGTGTTGGGCGTGAAAACAGTACAGTGCAGAGGCAGGCAAGGCACCCAGGCAGAGCACAACCGCTGCAAGAAAAATCATAAGGTTTTCCTAATGAGGAAGAAAGAGGTTTCTCCCCATAAGTGATTCAGTGCTTTCCATGTGTGTACTAGTTCAAATAAAGAGATTGGTGAAATATCATAGAGTAACAGTGGATGAATGGCAGCAAGCAGTAGCAACTGCACCTGTTAAAGCAAACAGGCTGCTCATTAACAACTGGACTTTGAGAGAAGGCAGAAGGTATCTGATGAGTCTCTGCAGTCAGCATTGCTGCTTGCAGAGCTGTTATGGCTACAGAAGATGATGGGCAACCCATTGAGGATTAATGTAGGTCTCAAGAAGAAGGTGGGAAAGAATAGGATCTGGACTGAGACTTTGCTTTAGCCTTCGTGACCTGCAGAGTTGAACGATTCTTTCTTGGGGAAATTAGCAGTTCAGAGAGAATCATATCTGTGTTAATTATATATACATATACATACATATACGTGTATATATACACACATATATATACATATATATATATATATTATATATATATATAAAGTGGTTATTGATGTGCCTTTAACTATTTAATAAATATGTTATTAAATTTTCATTTTAATAAAATTTCATTCAAAATGTTTTGTGTCTTTTCAATTTCTATTTACAAAGTCCCACGTTAACGAAATCCATTTATGGATTGTTACACTAGGAAAACCAGAACCCACATGAATCCAGGCAATCAATGGTCATGATTTGGGGCTCCAGGTAGAGGTTGCTGAATGATAGGTAAGAATTCAGGGTAGGCATTCCTGATCATGAAAATGGAATTAAATGAGGCATTTGTGTTAACAGTCACACCTCAGTTGGGTTGGTGTACTCAATGAATATCAAATATTTACCGTAAACAGCAGCAGCCCATGATAGAGACCACAGTAATAAGCCTTTCTCCTGATGGACCCTCTCACAGATATTCCAGATCCTGAAGATGCATCAGAGGACCTCAAGGGTCATTGGGATGAGAGTCATTTGGGGCCAGAGGAGTACCCAAACCATTCAAGAAAAATGTCCAAGAAGTGTCACACATGCAGCCACATCCACTATTGTCGTCCTCTACTCTCCACATCCTGGAGAAATGTCCCTGTGGTAACAATTAAGATATACAGATCCAGATATTGTTAGGGGGACTTAAAGAAAGGTCAGTCCAGGAATTACTTTTGAGTCATAGACTAAGAAAACTCTTAAATAGTATTTTAAATTATTATTGTGTCCACATTCAGTGCTATGCCATTTGACCCTTCTCTCTTTCAAGCCACACGCCATATTACTGCTGGAGTAATTTTCCTAAGGTCAAAAACTGCTCAGTTCCCTGACTAAAAATCGCCCATAGCTCCTCAGGGCCTGTGGAATAAAGCCTACACGCTAACATGGCATTCTTCCTTGCTCTGGCCTTAAGCTTGTCCTCTGTGGCCTCACCCTTCCCCCTGCCTTCTGTAACCTGAGCACTCCAGACAAACCGAAGCACTGTTGGGGAAATATAATTTAAAAAGCCATCTTTCAACCAAAAATCCTCTCCACAAAGGTAGTAGTGGAAGAAAACACTTTATTATTGAATACACATTAAACCAGAATTTGATGTGCACCACAGGCAATCTAAGAGATGGCAAAAATAGAAAGGAATCCCACCCCTTATATATATATAGCCAAGCAGATATAACCCATTATATACTTGTTTTCAAAATAAACTATAACTAGTCCTCCAGTAAGAGGACTTGACAGCACATTTTGTCATTCATAGTTCGTCCTAACTTGATCGTCATAATTGGGGATACCACTGTTGACTTTAACCATAGGAGAAGTTCACAGGAGATAGTTTTGCAAATTGGAGAGAGGTGTCTGTTGTTAGGCTCTATTTTAGGAAATAAGGCACTACCTGCCTCCCTTGATATTTGCATTTCAAAGAGATGGCTCCCAGGTCCTTGAGGAAACATTTTCAGAGCTGTGAGACTAATGAGAGGCTTATTTAGCCATTATAAAGTTTGAAAGACAAGGGAGGAGGGCCGGCCGAGTGGCTCAGTTGGTTAAGAACTCACTCAAGAGTTTGAGCTGTGAGCAACAGCAGCTCAAGTCCCAGCCCGAGCTGAGCAGCCACTGAGCTGCCAACATGTGGCAGGATGGCTCAGCTTAAAAAAAAAAAGAAAGACAAGGGAGGGGGTGGAAGAGAAGTATCTTTCCTTATTTTCCTCTAGAAGAATTTAGCATCTTATTTTAAATTTGTATTTGCTTTTACACCAATCACTGTTTCCCAGATACCTTTTCATTTTCTTCTTCCTCTTCTTTCTCATCATTCATCAGATATAGATCAACATTTTATATATACAGAAGGTTCCCCAAAATGTATACAGTTTTTAAGAAAGGAAAACTATTAAAATTGTAATACTCAATATATACCAATAACAAAAGATGAATACAAGTCACGTTTGACTTCTGTAATTACCAGAGGTGCTCAAAGTGGTTACCATCAGCCTAATTTTAATAGATTTTTTTCCTTTCTTAAAATGTGTATACAATTTTTTGGCACCCTCTGTATATCAAACTCACTCAAGGTATATATCAACTGTCAACTTTTCCTTGAGGTCTTCTCTGGCCTTAGCAGATACCACTGAGATGCAGCTAATATTTATTTAGTACTTCACAGGTAATCTCAGAGCTCAAGATCCACCTCCCCTACAGTGCTTCTAACATTGTCTATATGACTCCTCCATTAAACTGAGCTGCTCAAGGGCAAGAACCAGGTCTAGTTGATCTTTGTATCCTTCATAGTGCCTCAAACAATAGCTGCACAGTAAATGCCTAATAGATTTTTTTAGAGAAAT